AATCACCTGTTGGAATTAAGATTGCTGGGAGAAATATCAACAACCCCAGATATGCAGATGTAGGATACCACTCTCATGGCAGAAAGTGAAGAGGAACTGAAGAACCCCTTGATGCGGGTGAAGGAGGAGAGCGCAAAAGTTGGCTTGAAACTCAACATTAAGAAAACTAAGATCATGGCATCCGGTCCTCTCACTTCCCGGCAAATAGATGGGGAAGAAATGGAGGTAGTGACAGATTTTATTTTCCTGGGCTCCAAGATCACTGCAGACGGGGACTGCAGCCAAGAAATTAAAAGACGCTTGCTCCTGGGAGGAAAGCTATGGCAAATCTAGACAGCATACTAAAAAGCAGAGACATCACCCTGCCAACAAAAGTTCAAATAGTCAAGGCTATGGTTTTCCCAGTTGCAATGTATGGCTGTGAAAGCTGGACCATAAGGAAGGCTGAGCGCCGAAGAACTGAGGCCTTTGAATTGTGGTGCTGGAGATGACTCCTGCGAGTCCCTTGGACTCTATGCCTTGATACATCACACTTGTTAGTTGTGAAGTCATGTTTGATCCATTGTGACCCCATGGACAACATTCCTCCAGGCCTTCCTGTCCTCCACCATCCCCCGAAGTCCACTTAAGCTCACACCGACTGCTTCAGTGACTCCATCTAGCCACTTCATCATCTGTCGTCCCCTTCTTCTTTTCCCGTCAATTGTTCCCAGCATTAGGCTCTTCTCCAGGGAGTCCTTCCTTCTCATTAGGTGGCCAAAGTACATCACACTTAGATTACTGCAATGGGGAAGCCCCTAAAGAGTGCCTGGAAGCTTCAGTTGGTGCAAGACAGAACAGCTAGGCTACTAATATTGTGACCAAACAACACCTGTCTTGAAACACTGGAATGCACTGGCTGCTAAATTGCTTTCTGGGCACAATTCAAGTTGGTGGTCTTAAATTTTAAAAAGCTAAATATTTTAGGAGCTGGCTATTGAAGTGACTGTCTCATTCACTATAAACCTGCCTGAGTAGTAAGATCTGCAAGACATACTCTTCTGAAGGCACATTACCCCCAGAAGCTCATTTATTCAGCATGCACAAAAGGATTTTCTCCCATGTTTTCCCCAAACTATAGAATGCACTTCCTCAAGACCCTTACAATTAGTATTTAGAAAGAATGTAAAGACCCTACTTTTTTAATTTACCCATTTGTTTTTACTATTGTGGGGCTTTATTGTTTTACATTGTACACTGCCTTGATTGCTTTTTAGCAGGTAAGGCATTATATAAATGTTTGTTAAACAGTCAGTCAATCAATTTCACTTTCTTTCTCAAAGAGAATCTTTATCTGTACAGCATACAAATATTTCACAGTGCAGACATAAGCAGAGGAAGAATAATACTGTTTTCTTTGGAGTGAAGCTTTTCGCATGCTACTGGATGTGGACTCATTTCCCTATCAGCGTCACACCAGAGAAGGAATCTCCATAGTTTGGAGCAGGAGGAGCAGAACAGCATGACTATCTGAATGGTCTTTTTCTGGTGGATGATTTATTTTATTTGTTTTAGTTATGTAACCCCTGAGTTATTTTTATTTTTTCTATGTGTTCTTTTCATAATTTTCCCTTTATTAAGAATCTGTAAGCTATGCAGGGGGAGGTGAGTGATGAATGTTATAAATGACTGTATGCTAGCCAACATTAACACAAGGGTCCATCAATAAATATAATATTTCTGCTCTCTTGAGGATTCCAACAGCAGATTTTGAATTTCATAAAAAGAGACATGGGATAACACAACAAAGGAACATAGATGGAAATGAATACAATTAAATAAATCTGAAACCAGAATACATATACTCAAAGGCAACAAAGTGATTGATAGCATTCACATGAAAGGGTTGTCCAGCAGTACAAGAACTGTTAACATACCATCAATTGCTCTGAGAAAACACCATTTATTGCTATATTACAATAGAGATGACACATCAAGAGAAAACCACAAACCTTTAAAACCGTTTTAAACATAAATGAGGAATATAACCCAAGTCTGGTAGAGTATTACAGAAATCTTTTGAAAAAGATGAGAGTGGGGAAATTGATGTTAAACATTAACTTCACCAGTTCTATATTTAACATCTTTTTCTGAAGAGATAATAATTCAACATTAAGCTGCCTGCTCCTATGAACTGGATTCTGAAGGAAAGACTGGTATCTGTGTCACTTTCTCTTTAAGCTCTATAGATAAAAATATTAAAATATGTATCATGCATATAAGCTGGAACTAGAGATCCTTAATCTTTACAGGACTATTAAAAGGTCTAACTCTTGTCAAAGGCTCTGGCTAGCAGTACAATGCACCACTTATTTATGGGAATATTTTAACTTTAGACTGATAATGTAATATGCATTTTAGCTAAGAAATGAATGCTGGATTTTGTAAGAATGAATATAGTCCTTTAAGTCTACGAGGGCATCACTTGCAACTTACTTTCCCACTGGACACAACAGATGGAAATACCATCTGGTCCTTTCTCAGTACAGAGGGCCCAAGAGATAATGGCCAGCTAGGAGATAATTGTATTCATTCTCTCGACAGCAATGAAAGCATCTTTGGTTCCAGAGATCCTGGTAGGCACAAAACTAAGGAGACATGTTGAATTAAAGTCAGATCAACAGTTTGGAAGAGAGCCCAGAAAGAAGGTCTTTTAGAAGTAAGACAAGAAATTGTGTTTTATGTTTAGAAAAATATGCATATACTGAATTCATTATCAAATTAACAGTTTAAAAAGTAAGCAAATACTCATAGGATGCAAGCACAGTCCTGACAAAGAACAAGAACTTGCAGCATAGAATGTTGGTTTATATTGTATGCATTTGTATATAGTTGATGATCAATATCTCAATTGAAAAACTGTTACTAAACTCAGTAAACTAGATTAATGATTTTCCAATTTTCTATCATCAAAAGTTTGTTTTCTCTGGAAGTTCTTTCCCATTATAGTAGAACACAATCTGAGTGGCCACAATCTTATTAAGCCCTACAGAATTTCCTTTTTTCCAGTGAAAAATCTACTTGATCCAGCAGACTCAAACTATTTTTAATTTGCACCTGGTTTGCAAATATTTTTGCTTGCATGGATAGTGCACAATTGTTCAAAGACCCAGAAGTTTCTAATACAGGAACCCTGCAAAAAAGTAGACCACTAGGAAGTATGACTACAAAAATAGCAAATCATACCACCTGCATTTTAGACAAGCCCAGAGAGAGAAGGCTAGTGAGAAGAGACAGATTTCTCCTGTTCAGTATTCTAGAAGAGAGGCTCACATCTGGCAAGCAGTGTTCTTAAATATTTTTTCTTTATATAATGCTAACAACAGAAGTGGAATAACCAATAAAATGCTGCAGTATGTCATCTTTCAACTCCTTGTAGGCATACTCCTGTTCAAAGTTTCAGTCAGTGTCAGCTATTCTCTCCAATCAGGGCATTCGACAGCCTTCCACTCATTTTCCCTTTGCAATGGTCACACTGTATTGCGTGGCTACAGAAATGTTCAATTTTCATTGGGATGGTACAGGAGTTGGCCCCTTGAGTATTTTTTCTCATAAGGCTTTACTTTTCATTTTTGCAGTTGTACAAGCTTGCTGACACACTCCTTTTGCTTTTCCATGGTCCTCTCTGAATTACAATTTTGGTAGCATTCATCATTTGAGTTTGCTAATAGAACTATAATCAAATTATTCCAGCTAGATGTAATCAAGATGATGAAAACTCTAGGCCCTGTGAGGTATGAATCTTTTGATTGTTAGTCTGTCCGAAAATATTAACTCTTTAAACATTTTGGAGGCTTTCCATTGAACAAACAATGAAATTAATATTTCTCTGCAAGAATCAGGGTGTGGGGGAGATACACTATAGTGATCCATAGAAATTTGCTTTTCTCCCTACACTTCCTTTGTACAGGTTAAGTATGAGTGTAGGGCTGCAGCCTAAATTCTGTTAAAACTTACACACACATAACCAGATGTATGGGTCAAATAAGCCAACATCTCAAGAAAACAGTTTTATGGCCAGAGTCAGAAGCCTGAGCACATGTAAGTATGGTACCACTTTTCTTATTCAACACAGTCGATGAATCACTGCCAAAAGGCTGCATGGTTTCTGTCCCCTATATGGCACTATCCAACAGCCATAGCTGTGTGGTGGGTATTCACATCTTTTAGCACTCCTTCAATGAATACAAAATGATTTCTGTATGTGCAAGTGTGTGATGCTGGAATTAAAGGGAATTGCTTAAAGCTTGATTTATTGTATTCATACATGGAGTTGCGGGGTGGGGGGATTAATGCATCACTCTGGAAGGTTTATACTTTCATACCCTGCTTTTCTTAGTCTTTGAGTACTATGGAACAATAAAACCATTGATCAGTACTTTAAAGCAATCTTTCACTATAAAAAGGATTCTTCCAATATAAAAATGTTTAAAATATTAAAACACGTTCATTTGTGGCCTGGGCTCTTAACCTGATCACATCTAACAGATGACGTTTGGTTCTGAATTTTCTGAATATAAAATTATTTATTAAGGCTACAATTCTAAGATTACTTAACTAGGAGTACTTCTAGTTAAGTACAATAGGTCTTGCTTCCAAACAGACATGTAAAAGTTTGTCCTTTTAGTGTACATGACTATCAGGAATTGATCAACTGTGCTATTCCTTTTTTTCCAAATTACACAATATAATGAAGTTACAATTCATTCATAAATTTTTGCCCTTAAAAACATACTTATATTGCATTACAAAGAATTTGATCTCCAGTCCTCAGGGAAATATACCACTAGAGAGTCTGAGAAATACTTATCAAATTAGCTTAATTACTCCATGTCAACTTGATTAGTTGCTGTTCTTTAATGCAAAAGCTGCTGCTTGCAATTAATAGCAGTTGGTACTAGTTCAATTGATTGAGTGTCTACAGTGCATGAAACATGATACTAAGTTTAGAATTATCTTACAGCAATTCAGTTGAAAAGTCTTTTCCCAGTGGTACATAGATCTGAAGTACCAGAAATTGCTGGATCAGTCCAACTAGAAAGAAACAAAAGAAACAGATTAAGTGTGCATGCCACATACAAAACGTGGGAAGAAAACAATGAAAGGAAACCAAATCAAAGTATAATTTGTTAAAAAGAGAGATATTTTGCCAAACATTCAATTGGAGGCTCAGGTGGAATTCCTACAACCACAAAAGAGAAGCTAATTACTTCATTTACACTTTGTCATTATCTTGACAGAGCACAAATACACACTGTACTTCCTAAACAAGCATATAAAACTCAATCTAAAGATTTACAGGCATGCTCCTGAGAAGTGTATGCCTGAGCATTACTCTCCAAAGTAAACTTTATTTCATCCATGAAAGCAATTTATTCACACAATAGAATCCAGATTAGGACAGTTGTGGACAGTTGAGGATCTAATTTGAAAGCTTAAAACAAGCCACAGCTCAGAAGGGAGAGCAGAGAAAATGAAGTGCTTCCTGAATCCAGAAAACTCAAAATGGTTTTGAGGAGCAATGCCTACTGAAAATCATGAAAGATGGCTCATGAAGTGCTACTATCCCCATCCCAGTCTGGTCCATTAAAAAAAGGCAGACTACGACTTCGCGACTAGCAACAACAACCATGATCAAAAACTACTTTCCAATTTTCTAACAAAAAGTGATTGTGTGACCTCCAATGTAACTGACTTGTCCACCTTATATTAATATTTGGGTTATCCTGTGCTTGTGTTTTCTATTTTCAAACAAGGAAAAACTCCATGAACATAACTATGCTTTAAAGCTGTCCAAGTTGTTGGCCATCATGATATCTTATGGTGCTGAATTTCATAGCTTAATAATTTCCTGTGTGAAGAAGTACTTCCTTTTATCTGTTCTGAATCTTCCTTCATTCACCTTTGAAAGGTAACCCTCAAACATTAGCATCACGGGAGAAGAAAAGCATCTTCTTCCCACTTCAAAGTGCCACATTTAGACAGCTGAAATCAGTGTTGCCAAAACCTAGTGCCTTACAGGGTGGAAGGACTGTGGAGGCAACCTTCACCTTCATAAACTTCCTACCCTGTATAGGATGCTCATAATCCTACTAGTTCAAAGGCTACAGGTATTCTGATTGGATTGCAGCCTTTAAAATTTTAGATGCCATCCTACGCACCTGTTTCCACTCCACATTATCGTTTTTGAGATATAGGAACAATAATTGTACACAGTATCATGAGTATATTTGCACCATGGATTCATATAAGAATGTGTTGTTGTTTTTATTTTATTTGTTTATTTAAAACTTTTTTTATGCCGTCCCTTATGCATAGCATCTCAGGATGGCTTACACTCGTTAAAATCAAAAACGATAAAACAACCCAGTACAATAAATAACATATAACCACTAAAATAAATTAAACCAAAATTAAACCAATTAATGACTGTTAAAACATTAAGATACTAATTTTTAAAATAACGATTGAATAAAAAGGTTTTGACCTTTTTAATGATGACTTATCTTCAGCAATACCAGAACACTTAGGCCCAGAAGACACACAATACATACAATGTAATGCTTGGTTTGAATACACATCAGCCTCCTCGATTTACACATACAGTAACCAACATTTCAGAATTTTCAAACAAGTATTTTTTATTTTCTATTAGGAACAATTAAAACAATGTTTTTAACCTTGCCCACAGCCTATTTAGCTGGCTGCCCTACCGCATGACCGACCGCCCCCCCTGTCCACTCCACCTGACTGCTCCATCTGGCCACTGCTGCCATAGGATCCTGACTAACAGCCTTTCTGAGCCACTCCTGGCATGACTGTCGATGCCTGCACTGCCCTTCTCCTCTGTCTGAACAGGCCTGGCTGGTGGCAGAAACAGGGCTGGTACACACAGAGACGTGGGCCACTTTGCTGGTGCAGCACAGAGGCTGAGGGAGGTGGGACCACAGATGGGAAGACTCTCCCTGTGGCCTATGTACCTGGCAGCCTTGGACAAAGCCAAAGGGCATCACCCATTTGGTGCCTGTTTGGTATGTAGATAAAAAGGAGAGGGTTTTTTTAAACAACTCCTCTCCTTCCACCCCCATTCACTTCTATTTCCTCTCTTGGTAAGATAGGATGCATTGGAAGTATTTAAAAGAAGGTAACTGAAGAAGTGAGGTAAGTTAAGGAAGGTTCAGATAACTAGTTGAGGGTTGTAGGATGTAGGTAAGGAAAAAATGAAGGAATTAGAATTGTATTTTGGTAATTGGTTGCTTAATGTTCATGTTGGTCTATTGAGAATGTGAGGAAGGAATGTGAGGAGATTAAAGGAGGTAAGAAGGTTAGTAAGAAGTGGATTATGAAAGGAAAGGTAAGCTGAATACTTGTAGTATACTATTACCATGGTTCCCCCCCACCCCAGCAACTGTTTTTTTTCCCCTAGCAACTCTCAGTTAAGTATAGTTTTGGACTCCCAATATGTTGCTGAATAAGGCTATGATGTCCACCATATTAAAAAGGCACCACTGGCCACCTATTAATTTTCCTTTTACATGTGCAATAAGGTTATCTAGGTTATTCACACCAACTTTGATGGCAGTGTAATATTCAGTAATGTTGCATTTTGGTATTCCCTGCGCACTACTAAGACATGATGCACTGAGGAGACTAGAATGACAATTCCCTTTTTTAGGGGAAGAGAAGAAACCAAACTACAATCATTTTAAACACTCAATAGTGATAACAGTGATTCCTTGCATGGATGGAAGGTGGGATGTACAGCTTATTCCATCATTCCAATCTAATCTAATCCATTATGGTCAGAGACGAGCATTCACTAACACAGACCATCATAAGAGGTAAAAAAAAACACAACACTTTTCTATTACCCTAATTAAAATGACAGTTAAAACTGATTAACAAATAACAACCACAAAAATTAAACTAACTACAAAGACAGAATATAAATAAACCAAAGTCACATATATAAAAAATGTAATGCCATAACCATGATAAACATGGGGTGTATGGGGTGATCAGGGAGGGGTAGCACCTCTGGTGCAGCGGCACATCGTGTCCTCTTAGGGCAGTTTGTTCACCTTTGGTCCCCACTTTTCACCCAGCTCTCACCTGTGGCTCCCAGTAGCTGTAGCATGCGCAGCGGCCACACCCCAGGCAACAGCTTCGACAGACTGGCCAAACCAGGTAGAGGGTAGCCGTTGGGTCAAGACCTTCGGTGAGATAGGGATTTGTCTGTCCCGAGCATGTGAAGACAGACTCTGGTGGATTGAGCGGATGAGACCTACTAGAATAGGACCAACGGTCATGAAGGTGGTTTCTGCAAGTGTTGTGGTACGCTAAGAGCATGGCAAGACACAAAGACGCCCTGGTCAACCACTGCACCCAGCCCATCTCCAACTGTCTCGACTCTTGTCCTGCCACTGGAGCAAGATGGATTCTGGGAAGAGAGAGTGAGGCTGACTATGCGCACCTCTCCCTCACTTTAATCCAATCCACGTGCAAGTTTTGACATCCTAAGTTCTAGTAAACCTCAAAGTCCTGTGGCAATGGGAGAGTGACGAAGCAGCAGGTGTGGATACACTGGGAGCTCTGCCGTCCCCTTCTTCTTTTCCCGTCAATTGTTCCCAGCATTAGGCTCTTCTCCAGGGAGTCCTTCCTTCTCATTAGGTGGCCAAAGTATTTGAGTTTCATCTTCAGGATCTGGCCTTCTAAAGAGCAATCAGGGTTGATCTCCTCTAGGACTGACTGGTTTGATCGCCTTGCAGTCCAAGGGACTCGCAGGAGTCTCCTCCAGCACCACAATTCAAAGGTCTCAATACTTTGGCGCTCAGCCTTCCTTATGGTCCAACTTTCACAGCCATACATTGCAACTGGGAAAACCATAGCCTTGACTATACGCACTTTTGTCGGCAGTGTCTCTGCTTTTTAGTATGCTGTCTAGATTTGCCATAGTTTTCCTCCCCAAAAGCAAGCGTCTTTTAATTTCTTGGCTGCAGTCCCCGTCTGCAGTGATCTTGGAGCCCAGGAAAATAAAATCTGTCACTACCCCAATTTCTTCCCCATCTATTTGCCGGGAAGTGAGAGGACTGGATGCCATGATCTTAGTTTTCTTAATGCTGAATTTCAAGCCAACTTTTGCGCTCTCCTCCTTCACCTACCTTAAGAGGCTCTTTAGTTCCTCTTCACTTTCTGCCATTAGAGTGGTATCATCTGCATATCTGAGGCTGTTGATATTTCTCCCAGCAATCTTAATTCCAACTGGTGATTCATCTAGCCCTGCCTTTCTCATGATGTGCTCTGCATATAAGTTAAATAGGCAGGGCGACAGTTTACAGCCTTGCCGAACTCCTTTCTCAATTTTGAATCAATCAGTGGTTCCGTGTCCAGTTCTCACTGTTGCTTCTTGACCCATATATAGGTTTCTCAAGAGACAAATAAGATGGTCTGGTACTCCCATCTCTTTAAGAACTTGCCGCAATTTGTTGTGATCCACACAATCAAAGGCTTTAGCATAGTCAATGAAGCAGAAGTAGATGTTTTTCTGGAACTCCCTAGCTTTCTCCATGATCCACTGTATGTTGGCAATTTGATCTCTAGTTCCTCTGCCTCTATGAAATCTTGCCTGCACTTCTGGTAGTTCTCAGTCCACATACTGCTGGAGCCTAGCTTGTAGGATTTTGAGCATCACTTTGCAAGCATGGGAAATGAGTGCAATGGTGTGGTAGTTTGAACACTCTTTGGCATTGCCCTTCTTTGGAATCGGAATGTAAACCGACCTTTTCCAATCCTGTGGCCACTGTTGAGTTTTCCAAGTTTGCTGGAATATTGAGTGTAGCACTTTTACTGCATTGTCTTTTAAGATTTTGAATAGCTCAGCTGGAATACTGACACCTCCAATAGCTTTGTTGTTGCTCAGACTTCTTAAGGCCCATTTGACTTCACATTCCAGGAAGTCTGGCTTGAGGTCAGTGACCACCCCATTGTGGTTATCAGGGACATTAAGCTCTTTCTTGTATAGTTCTTCTGTGTAA